TGGCAATGGGATAAGATAGGGAGATTCCCTGAGTCCTCTACTGTTCAACCTGATTATGGATGCAAAAATAAAAAAAAGTTAGAACTAAAAAAGAATACCAAGGGAAAAACAACTTGTAATTGTAAATGTAAATATGTAAATTGGTAAATGCAAATGTAAATTGGTGCTGGAAGGTCAGATAATAGAACAAGTGATGGAGTTTAAATATCTAGGCATCACATTATCTAGCTACGAAAAGCTCGAAACCGAAGTGGAAGATCAAGTGGATAGAGCGAACAGAATCGCAGTCTGCCTAAATGAAACAATATGAAGAAATAAAAATATCAGCAAAGAAACGAAAGGCAGAATTTACAAAACAGTCATCTGGTCAATAATGGCATACGCAGAAGACAAAAGACCTGACACAGAGAGGACAAAAAGGATGTTAGAAACAGCAGAGATGAAAACACTTAGAAAAATTGATGGTAAGACACTATGGGACACAGCTAGAAATACAAATATACGACATAGATGCAAGGTGGAGAACATCAAAAACTGGGTAAGAAATAGAAGAGTAGAATGGAACGATCATATAAGCCGGATGACAACAAATAGAGTAGTAAAGACGGCAAGAGACAGTTCCCGAATAGGAAGACGATCAGTAGGAAGACCTCGAAAACGATGCAATGACAAATTACTGGAGGCACATTGAAAAACAAACACAGTCATGTCTATATAAAAAGAAGAAGAAGATGAAGTTATTTTTTTTAGTTCTTACTTTTTTTATTATTTCATCCATAATCAGGTTGAACAATAGAGGTCTCAGAGAATCTCTCTGTCTTATCCCATTACCAACTTCAGTATAGTCGGTTAGTTCTTCTTCAACTTTTTAATTTTATTGTACTGTTTTGGTAGATATTGTTGATCGTTTTGATTATTCCAAGAGGTATTTCCCTTGCGTACAGTAAGTGGATAATGTCTTTTAATTTGACCCAGTCAAGTGCCTTTTTAAGGTTCACGAAACATAGATATGCCGGTTTGTTGTATTCTAATAATTTCTCTTTATAATTACTTTTGCACTTGTATAAATATAGCTTTGTTGCATGATCTTTCCAACCTAAAAACTTGTTGTTTTTCTGCTAGTGTTTGATTGTTAATTTTAATGTTGTGTTTAATAAATTTATTCCTCTGTAATTTTTCGGTTCCATTTGTCTCCCTTTTAGAAGAAAGTATTAGGATAGTTGATACCCATTCTTGAGAAATTATGTTTTGTTCTATTATTTTTTGGATTAGTTTTAATAGTTTTAATACTTCTGAATTCGACCCCTATTTGCTAAAGGTATACAACTTGAATAGTTTAAATTTTATAATACAAATCTATACATTATAACATATACAAATCTAACATATATGTTAGATTATTTGGGATATTATCACTTTTTTTATTCCCATTTCTGTGCTTGGCAACTGTGACCACTCGCATGAGGGCGATTATAAACAACTTACTACAGGTATAATATCAAAAATGTAATATAAAAATATTTTAGAGTTTGTGATACAATCATATTTTTTCAAAAAACTGAAGAACTTTGTCTGTCTAGTTGGGATCACTGAGAAGGTCGCCTAGCTACACTTTGAGGCTGGACATCTGATGTGATTCGGAAGCCGTGTTTTAGTTTGGTGTGGCCTATATGGATTCTTCGTATAACTGTAAGGTTTTGTCTCGATATTCCCGTGAGGCCGATGTATAATTGCTTATACAATGAGGGCTGGCTTGCAAATAAGTATGTATTTAAGTAGCTCTAATGGGTTTGCCATAACCTCCTTTTAAATCTATATGCTTCTGTTATTAAATCTTTGCAAATTTGGATGTGAGTTGTTGATGTGTTATGTGTTGAAGCCGATTTAGAATGCTGATCTGCGAGTTGATTGCCAGATATACCAAAGTGATATGTGATAATCCATATAAAGGTAATCTTAGTTTTTAATGTAGAGAGGTAGTGGTTAGAGTGATGGATATTTTGGACATGGGAATGATCGGTAAATAATTTCTGAATGCATAAAATGGAAGCTAGAGAGTCTGTAGAAGGAAACATTTTTGTTCGGGAGGTTAATATGCCTAACTGTCTGTAGGACACTATACAATTCTCCAGTATGTACGATGCACAAAAGAGGAATAAAAAAGTACAAATGAGATTGTTTTATGAGGCGACTGAACAACCATCTTTTACGCGTTGGTCCTCTACTTCTTCTGCCAACATTCTTGTGCCCCTAAAGATGTCTGATGAGGGATGGTCTAAAACTTTTGAAATGGTATTTTCTGGGGTTTGCTTGCTAGGAGTTTTTTTTGTATCTTGCAGTGAATCCGCATTGGTAATGTCTACTAATACTAAAAGAAGAATGGAGCGCTGCATACGATGATGGTCTATAAAAGTAATAAAATACCAACCATTCATTGTTGACCATTTACCGCGTTATAGCAAACTATTTATGTTGCTCCATACGATGTAATTTGAAAACATTAATTGAATGTGCGAATGGACTTCAGGAACAGATTTGAATGTGGATTTATACAAATAATAATCAAGCTGTTTAATGGTTCAGGTAGTGTTTCAATTTTTGGTATTTGCACATTTTCTAACGCGCAACATCTCGGCTGACGCATTTTTGAATTTAATAGCAAACAATGGGGACATTCGCTGTCCACAGTATCAATTGTCACTTTCAAATGAGCGTTTATTATTAAATGAAAACAAATTTGGGTAGTAGTAAAGAATAGTACATTGTTTACCGGGTAGGAAAAGCTTAACATTCCTGGACGACTGTGAAGATTGCTAAGTCGAGGCGCAAGCCTCGACTTAGCAACACAGAGTCCAGGAATGTGGCTTTTCCTACGAGGTAAACATACTATTTTTCCGCAAATCGTTTAAAATTCGACAGATATTGATTGGTTAAAAAAAAACGCGATAATTTTATTCCCAAATAAATGGTGATTTGAAATTTCTAATAAAATTACTTGGGTTACTATGGAAACGTATTGAGGTTGAATTGTCAAACTTGACGGTTATAAATTTAATTGCTGGTGTTCTCGAAAGTAAAATGATAAGTGATGATGAAATTTCCATTCCTGGGACTCCTCGAGAGCTGGTTGAGGCAGTGAATACTGCTTCATTAGAATTATTGCCAAAGAAATCAAGAGAAAAGTACGAAAATGCATACAGACGTTTTATGGATTATCACATGAGTAAAAATACGAGTTCTTTCTCAGAAAATGTTGTAATGGCATACTTCCTAGACCTTTGTTTAAAGATGAAATCTTCAACATTATGGGCCAATTATTCAATGCTGAAGTCAACCCTTGCACTTAAACACAATGTAGATATATCTACATACTCAAAACTTCGTTCTTTATTGAAACGGCAAGCTCAAGGTTATAGGGCAAAGAAATCTAAGATTTTAACGAAGGAAGAAATGAAAAATTTATCCAGGAAGCTCCAGATAAAGAAAATTTAATTATTAAGGTACTTTACAAGGTTTTAATTTCTATTTAGATTATAGCTTTATTTATTTTTTAGGTGTCTGTAATATTTGGTATTTCTGGGGCCTGTAGAATGGATGAGTTAGTCCGAATGACTGTACAGGATATAGAAGACTTAGAATCTAAGCTTTTAATCGGCATACCTGATTCGAAAACCAACAAACCAAGATCATTTGTAATTAATCAGATCTACTTGAATGTTTATCGAAAGTATGTTTCGTTAAGACCAGAAAATATGAACAGTGACCGATTTTTCTTTAAATATCAAAGCGGAAAGGGTTGTAGACAAGTGGTAGGAATTCATCAATTTAGAAACATGCCCAAAATAATTGCTACTTATTTGAACTTGGTAAATCCGACAGAATATACTGGTCACTGCTTTCGTCGGTCTTCTGCAACAATACTGGTTGACTCTGGTGCCGACATAACTAGTTTAAAGAGGCATGGCGGATGGAAGTCATCAAACGTTGCTGAAGGATATATCGAAGAATCGCTTAACAATAAGGTTTAGGTGGCAAATAAAATTTTCACAGTACAAAATATTCAACAAAATGACACTTCCACCCTGCATGTTGTCCAAAATGTTTCTCATAGTTCTAGGAGTGTTCCTCCAATGTTCAATAATTGTACTAACTGTCAAATTACTGTAAATATAACAAATTGATCTTAAAAATGTATTCAGCAATGACTTGATGTTTTCAAAATATAAATTAATTCCTTATAAGCAATGTGTTTTCTATCATTTATGTAGAACACTAACAACTGTACGGAAATATCATTTCCTTACAGTAAGGAAATGACATTTCCTTACAGTAAGGAAGTCCTGACTTTTTCTTCAAGAAATTTTGACAGGAATGTCAAAATTTCCTGGCGATTTGCGGAAAATAAATTTTCTTTAACAATATATTTTAATTATATTAAAAAACTAAACAAAAACTAAGTAAAGTATCCTTTTTTATTGACGTTGCGAACGGCAATATTACATTATTAATATTGATAAACATTTTGGAAAGGAAAATAAATTTAAAACGCATTATTTTTAATGAATAAACACCTCAGGAACGCCTATGATGATACAAATTTTACGAACGTTTTATGACTTTGAGGCACATTTCGTGCTCTCAACAATTTGTGAACGGATTATAGATTTGATGGATACCATAGACTAAAACCGCCGAATAGGAAACAAGTTGCTGATGGACAAAGAGACTTGTCATTGTTGCCACCTTATTTGCAACGTGGATACTATCTGTGATATAGAGGATGGCAGTATTAGGAGCAGTGGAAATATTTAGCGCACCTACCTTATAAAAATATCGATATTTACAAACAAAGCAAAAATTATTTTTCTCATCTACTCCATAGAAATTCTATTATATTTCCAAGTAATGTATTATAAAATTATTATTAAAATTAATCAACTACTTGTATTATCATGATTGATATGTAGTTATCTACATCATTCCATTTGGATTAAAACAACTGTTGATGTTAATTTAAACACTAGTGCTCATGTTGAAAAATGTTTAACTTATTTATTATTTTAATATTTTTGTCATTTGTACGTAAGTATTTTTTTATTTTACTTAAATTTTATTTTCTCTAACACATTTTAAATTATTTTTATCGTTGCTTACATACCCATAAATGTCTCTCTTTACAAAAATAACTTGCAGATTGCATGTATATTTTAAAGGGACCTAGTAGATCTTTTTATGCACTGCCACCTGAAATATCTTTTGCTATTTTATACTTCAAATGACTACAGAAAATACTTGAGGAGGCTAGTACCCACACACGATTGTAAAGCAAGAATACTGATAATGATAATGATGATCTAGAATTTTCAGAAAACATGTCCATTAACTTGTTTCTTTTTTTTATTAAGGTTTTTTTTGTGCATGCTTGTCTACCGTCCTTCTTCTTAGAGTGCCGTCTTCCTACGGAGGTTGGCAATTATAATGGCTATAAAATAACTTATGGTTAAGAAAAAAGAGAAAGATCCTTTCACAATACAGGAGTTATCGAATGTTGTTTATTCTATACCGTGTACTAATTGTAATAAAATTTACATAGGAGAATCATCTCGTAATTTTCACAGCAGGGTGATATCACACCGTAGTGATATAAAAACCAAAAAATCAATGCATGTGCATTGACAGAACATGCACTAACTCTAAAACATGAATTCAATTTCGATGATTCCTGTATTTTGGCAAAAGAAAAGAACCATTCAAAACGTGTTTTTTTGGAAATGTGTTTCATAAAACCTAGCACATCTTGCATCAACAAAAAGTCCGACATAGACAAATTAAGCAACATTTATTGTTATTTACTAGAAAAACACCAAAAATAAAATAAATATTTACCTGTACATAAATTACACCTCTATGTATAATATGTTGCATACCATTAAGACAGGTTTAAAAAGTATAGTCACCTAAGAAGGGCCTCTAGTATTTCTTGAAAAGAAAGATAACATCAATTACACCTAATTACATATTAATTACAGTGTTTTTACTTTCCATTCTCTGTATGAGTTAATATACACCAGTAAAACATGCCATCAACCAAGTTTTACTATTTTTACAATAAATTTTAAAAATTTTATAATGTATTATGTCCATAATTGTATATTTTAATGTGTGGTATAAATGTTGAGTGTCAATGCTTACAAAAATAATCTCAACGATTAGTAAGTTACACTAAAGAAGTGTGATATTTTTTAAATATTTACATAATTGTCTTTTACAGTGTCTTGAAAAAGGAATAAAACCATTCCGAAAGCTCGACAAAAAGTCAAAAGAGTGTTTTTTTAACATCCCGCCCAATATTCTGACTGCAACCCTAATAAACTGTGTAGTTTGTTTATACCGACAGTCACTAATATCCAGTATTTCTTATATATATATATATATATATATATATATATATATATATATATATATATATATATATACATATATTAAAAATATCAAAACGTGGATGAACATAAAAGTTTAACAATTACTAAGAGTGATGCAGAATAAAGAACATATTAATTTTTTTTAACTCAATTTAGAAATTACTTGTTTTATATTTTCTTAGTATAAATACAGACAAACTACATTATAAAAATCACATATATTTTAAAATATTATCTAATGATAGATTTTGTTTCAGATACGAACCCGCTAGGAATAATAGGCGGCCATGATGCCGATATCTCAAAATATCCATGGATAGCTTCCTTACAATATCAAGGAAACCACTTATGTGGCGCAACTCTGATTTCAAGTAAATGGGCTCTTACTTCTGGTGATTGTACTCAAGATATAAATGTTCTTGAAGAATTAACCATCCGCTTAGGAACAAATAATATATCGTCAGCTGGGCAAATTATCCACATAGCCAATTATTTTAGCCATCCAAAATTTAATACCTTCAATAATGACATGGATGTGGGTCTCTTAAAATTAGAAACGGAAGTGAATAATGTTACTTTTGCTACATTAACAAACGCCACTGATATTGTTCCAGTTGGTTCAAACGTTACAGTTTTAGGATGGGGCGGCAAAGGAGACTCTATAGGACCTACTGAAATCCTTCAGGAAACAGAACTTACTGTTTTTGATTATGAGTATTGTAACAAAACAAAAACTCCCTATTTTACCGAGAATATGTTTTGTGCTAGCGGCGTGGAAACCCCTGCTGGTACTTGTAATTACGATTCTGGGGGACCTGTATTATTAGATGGTATTATTGTGGGAATTATAACAGATGGTCGAGGACCATGTGCTGATGCTACTTCACCTGATATGTTTGTTAAGTTAGCTAACGCTAGAGAATTTATAACATCATATACAGGTATTTGATGTAAACATATAACAATACAAAGTAAAATAGCCTATGTATAGTTTATAATTTATAATTACATTAACATAATAAATAAAAATTAAGTACTATAGATTGATGTCATTTTTATATCTATAATACATTTTAGCGCCAAAGTAACGCAATACTTATAGTTGTTATGGCAAGAAGATATTGTCATCGAATGGTATATTTCTTTGAGAGAGCCAGTTCATGATATCATTTTTCGGCCAGGCAGTTATTGGTGACGGTTCCAATTGTCCAAAACGACGACAGAATTTGGTTCAAGGTTTAATAAAATCTTTCCAACCTTAAAATTTTTTTACGTCCATTTCTTTTTAATAGTCATTAGTTTTCCTGTATATGAAAACCAGAAGTAACAAGCCGTTATCCAAAAACACGAATTACTACCTATTTATGTTAAAATGAGTCTCTTTCCTTTGACCGCTGGTGTTTTCATACCCGATAACTCTTGAATACAGGCTTGTCAATGGTTTCTATCTTCAAAATCTTGCCTCACCTTTGAGACAGTATGCCATTGATTTAGTCAAATTTCGTCTAAATAGTAGTCAAACTATAGCCTAGATTTTTACTACTTACCTTCACGATAGATTTTTTTCAGATAATGTCTCTGTCACAAAAGAATATCTTTTCTTTCTGTAAGAATATTGTTCCTACTTTTTTTTTATATATTTATTGATTATTTGCCTTAATGTTCGCAATAAGACACGTCGAGATATCGCACCTCCGCTAAATAAGAGTCAATTCAAGAAACGTTGTTTGAGAAAAATGATGTTAAAGATTTTAGTTCAGTTGAATATGTATTTGTCAGTTCCATGAATAAATGCAAGCTGATATGCTATTTTATTGTAAACTGGAATATATTAGCTTAGTGTTATTGGTGCATGATTTTTCTCAACAAATTCAATTTTTGCAGTTAATAATAAAAAAGATATTAAGATATTATCATCTTAAAAATCACGTTGTTCGAGTATAATAAAGTAAACAAAGAAAAACAGAATTTTTTATTTATTTATTGTTACAAAGAGTTGAATAACAACTGGGAATGTGATTATTCTTTACTAAATCCAAGAGATATTTGTGCTTATTGTCTTTAATGCTAAGAACACTTTTGTACGCCTATTGTAAGGAACTTGGAATAGTATTGTTTTTTCTTCGGCAGGGATCTACTTGCTTGAACTCTTCATCTTTATATGAAGTATTATAAAAGAGGGTGGTAGGATTTCCTTGATTTAACTTAAAAACCTTAACTTCAGTAATCTTCAAAGATTTCATGCCTGTCATGCTTATATCGTCACACAATTTTTAAGCGCATAAAAATTCAAATAATCGAATTAATTTGCTCGGATCATTTCTTATAGTGTGGTATGGAATCTTTCTGCAGATTCATTGGATTGTGAATGATTTACACTAGAAAATGTTAATTTTATATCATAGAGGTTGCATGGATCTTTAATTATGGCATTTAAAAATTCTCGACCAGTCACAATGTATTCTTAAAGGTGTTCCGTAATGTTAGAAAAATAGAAGGAGAGGTGACTGCTTTTTTATCTGTTAAAGGGTATGCTTGAGTGTATTTAGTTAGTTCATCTCTAATGGTTAATGCATAGTTTCTAGTGAGATATTCAAATATGTCTATGTTGATCCTTTCAAATGTCTTTTTCATTGTTTCCGTTATAACTAATGCTCCACTTAGATCTTTTCTGTAAATTTTAAACTTTTGACAAATGTCACAGGCTTTTATATATTTTTCGACATCTTTTCGTTTATTCCTCTGTGCAAGTTATTTTTGCCACAATGGTAATGGTCTAGAATTTTTGGGGTTTCGTCCTCACTTGCCAGTTTAATTACTTTTTTGCAGATTTTTAATTCTTTAAGTTCTTTGTCTGCAAATATATAGAAAAATATTTCTATAATGGGAAGTTCGAAATTATTTTCTATCTAATAGGTCTTTGATTCGTCAAATTGTTCTTGGTTCGCATAAAATATGAAAAATAAGTACGACATTACTCTTTATAGATCGAAAGGTAATGGCATAATGAAATATTTTCGATCTTTTACGGTTTTACTAGATACGATAGTGATCCTTCGGTTACTGTATTCTATATTTTCTTCGAATGTGTCACTCATTATTTTTTCGTGCAGGTCCTCAAGTTTATTCTGCCAGAAAAAGGTAACTGTGAAATTTATCTAACAGTTTTGCGTTTGACGTTTCTATTTTGGAGTAATCGATAATGGATTTTGTTCTATATAATTCGAGAAAATTTTCTAATTCTTCGGACATTTCTTTTCTATTCATTCTTGTATGTCCTCTTTTTCTTCTTCGTCTTCTTCTGTTTTAGTTTTATCTCTGTTAGATGCGTACAGGACAAGTTTTGATTGAAAATCTGTACAGTCCTTAAAATGGTTTATTTTTATTCTTCAGAGTGCATCTGCGTTTCTATTGATTTTTCCTGAACGGTGCTCTATTTTGTAATTATATTCTTCAAGTTTTAGTCAAGTCTGGGTCTTTGATTGAAAATAGCCATGTAAGAGGTCGATAATCAGAGATAAAAGTAAACTTGCGATAGAAAAGATATAGTCTGAAATGTTTTACTGCCCATAATATAGCTAGTAATTCTCTCTCTATTGTGGTATATTTGGTTTTTGCACTGCATAATATTCGTTAGACATAAGCGATTGGCAGATCTTTTCCTAATGGGCCTTGTTACAAAACGGCTCCAATTGCGAAAGCACTAGCGTGAGTGAAAGAATTGGGTATGTCATTAGAATTTTTTGGGATCGTTGAATGTTTCCTTACATTCGTAATTCCCATATATATATATATATATATATATATATATATATATATATATATATATATATATATATATATATATATATATTTATATGAGGAGAAACAAGGCGAGGATCGAAATGAAAAATAAATAAATGAGAAAGACAACGTTTACTACCAGTTTTTATGGTTTTTATTAACCTACTTAATTTAAATCTTAACAAAATAAATTTTATACTTCAACGAAAAGGAATCAAAATTTAATACAGTACGTAAAATGACTTATTTGTGACATGTCATCATTAAGTAGGTATATAAGTTTCTTTATTATTTCTATTTCGATTTTTAAATTCAGATACAGGTCCTGCAGGTGTGTCAACTTGAACTAAATCATCAAATCTTGTATAATCAACTCTATAGCCGCTTTTTTCCTGACAAATTGACATTAGAGAAGCAAACTGGTACCCCCATAATATTTCATTAGCTAAATAACTTGATCTAACCTGTGTTTTTTGATCAGTACTTTCGATAGTACCTTCCAAACTAATTATTATCTCAAAGTTATGTTCAGTTAAATTTTGTTTTGAAATATTGTAGAAAGGCGAAGAAGAATCTATTTTGTGAACAATGGTCATAGGCCAAATGAAAAGCAAATCATTTTCGCAGTCATCTATAGTAACACGAAGTTTGGTTAAATAGTTTGAAAATGTGTCTCCTTGTTTAGTAAGTCGCTGTCTTACTAATTGTGCTTTAACTTTAGCCTCTATTATCCGACTTCTTTCTCTTAGATCACCAAGTCTTATCATTAGACACAAAACGTTTTCCCTCATAGCGATTACGGCATATTTCGAGAATTGTATAGTTTGGGTTCTTAATTTAGGTCTGGTAAGTTTTGCAAAAAATACACCAACCAAACATGCATCCACCAATAAACCCACTACATTTTGAACACACATAAGTACTACCGCATCAGCGCATTTTTCGGTGGGCCTCTTTTCACCATAACCTGTAGTTTGTTGAGTTTCTACCGAAAATAGAAAACAGGACCTAAAATTGTAAATGTCTGTAACACATGGAGTCCAGTTAGAAGCCATCTGATTCATAGGTAAGTGGCGATCATCTAAGTCACCGTGGTAATACGCTATAAACCACCAAAGTATGGCAAATATAGTCCAGGTTATAATAAAACCCAGTGAAAATACTGTGAAGGTATATCTCCATTTCATATCTATAAGTGTTGTAAAAATATCTCTTAAAAATCGCTTTTTCTGTACATTTGAAGGATAAATATTACAGTCTCCATTTTTTGCAACTGCTCGTATGTATGGCAAGTTTGTAGTATTTAGTCTGAAATACAAAAGACACTCAATTAAAGAAAAAATAAATAACATGAATATTAATAATAATTATGATTATCATATTATTAAACGAATTTAATATATACTGTACCATACCTAGTGATCTAGATTATGAAGCAATAACCTTAGGCCAGACCAGGCTCTTGAAGATACTTTTAAAAGATTAGAATGGGAAAAAAAGGTAAAAAAATTTGTGGACAACGCTTGAACCATCTAAGGTACGCTGATGAGATCGTATTAATAACCGATAATAAAGAAGAATTATTTGAAATGATGAAAGAAACTGGACGTAGAAGCTGGAAAGATAGGCCTTAATATGAATTATAGCAAGACCAAAACTATAACAAATACAGATGAAGATATCACAATGAGAATCGGACAAGATGAAATAGAACAAGTTAAGGATTATAAATATCATGGTCAAACTATAAAACTTAACAAAGAGAACCAAACAGCAGAGATCAAGAGACGAGTTAGACTGGCATGGGCGGCATTTGGCAAACTAAGCTACATTCTTAAAAACAAAAGATATCCACAGCATCTTAAGACCAAAGTATATAATCAATGCGTACTTCCTGTTCTTACTTATGGTTCCCAAACGTGGACATCTACAAAAGCAAACATGGACAAAATCATAAAAACCCAAAGAGCAATGGAAAGACAAATATTGCACATAAGACTAATGTATAAGAAGAGAAACGAGTGGATAAGAGAGAAAACAAAAGTGAGGGATGTTAGACAAGAAGTTGCAAAATTGAAATGGAGATTTGCCGGACACAATATAAGACAAAAAGAAGACCGATGGAACAAAATCCTTATAAGTTGGAGACCGTGGGAATATAAACGAAGCAGAGGAAGGTCCCAAATGAGATGGGCAGATGATATCAAGAAGCACGTGGGCTCTAG